ATTAAGGATTGCTCAAAATTCATCAAGACTCAAAAGTTGCTAAATTAGGGTTTTGTAGGAAAAGTTAACCCAACTTTGACCAAGCATAACTTTCTCATACTTTATGAGAAATGACCCATACAAATCTCATTTTGAATAAAATGCAATTTCCTACAATCCATATTCACACCCCAAGATCAAAAAATGCACTCACAAGAAGTTATAAATTTGGACATTATATGTCATTTTTGAAAGTCAACAAAAACACCTTTTTTGCCAAAGCTTATAACTTGAGCAGGGAATATCAAAATGATATTAGACCAAAAGGGTTGGTTATAGGACATCTCAAACTTTCTAAAAAGTCCAAGAACACTTCCAAAAGTTCAAAATTGAAGAAGTTATGCATTGTTGAAGTTAGGCATTTTTGCAAAACTGCCAAAAGTCAACTATCCCCAAAACTTCAAATTTTGTCAAATGGGCCCATTCTTTTCCACTTGATTTGAGCTTGCATCATTGTCCACGTGTCCTAGCTTCATCCATGAGCTCATATTATATTTTTATTATCTAATTTGATTTTTTATTGAATTTATTCATTTTAAATCAAATTAAATCATATAAAATCCAAACTTTGATTACCTAAGATCTTTTTGGTTGTTTCAGGTCTTAATTATCATCATTGGCATCATCAAACTCAGATCACACCGTATCATGTACAAAAAGATTGAAAATTGGCAAGATTGGAAAGGTTTAAAGAATGAATCAAATCAAATTCCAATGCATTGATTTAGAGAGATTCCTTCCAAATTTGTTACCCTAGCATATTGTATGATACATAAGGAAGCCACAAGGAACGAAACAAGGGGGGAGGCTGCAAGAAGAGGCAGAACAAAGTTTGGAAAAATTGACAAAAAGCTTGAATTCGAAATCATAGCTAGAGGTGTTTTCAGAAGCCAAAGCCTATCTCAATCGTTTCCTGGGTGTTCACTCAACCTTCCTGGATCAAAAGCAAGCTTCCTCACACACCACAACACACTCTAAGTATCACGATAACCCGCTCTGTTCATGGAATCATAAACCTTCATTCTTACATCATTTGAATAAATTCTTGGCATATTTATAATCCTTATAACATTTCCAAGCTTTTGGCAATATTCAATTTGGTTCATATGCGTTGTAACCCCAAAGCACCATAGCTAGGGTTGCATTTTTGTTTTTAGGGTTTTCTTTTTCAGGAAAAATTGGGACTAAAGAAGGGCATGGTGTTAATCAGCAAGCCAAGACGAACTCAGGCATGTTTTTGGAATTAATTTATGTGGCCTAGGGAAGATTTTAGAGCAAGCTTGCGCATTTAGCTGCGGATCCAAATCCGCAGGTAATATTTGCAGGAGCTGGAGGTAGGAGACGATGAGTTGTCGTTCTCCCATACGTTCGTTCAAACCAAGCGCGCTTCTTTTTGCTTTGCTGGCATATGTTTGGATTTCATTATATTATATTTATTTTGTATGTTACTAACAAATGAAACAGAGCGTCCTAGTGGCAAGCATGCACGTTCAATATCCATCAGGACCTGGGTTCGAATCCCAAGTCCTCCACTTTCTTAATATGTTTTTTCTTCACGTATTCCAATGTGCATGAGGACTTGCAGTGTACCATACACATTCATCTATCCAATGGCCAGATGGCCAAAGGCCAAATCTGGTGGCCAGGATCTGAAGGTCCACCATAGATCCAGTCAACGCGTGCTCACCTGATCCCAAAAGTCCAACAAGGCCAGCGTGTAATGGGCCTTCAGATTGCCATTCATGCCCCCATTTCAGGCCCATACCCCCTCTCTCTATTTTATTTATTTTGTTTATTTTAATTATTTTATTATTTTTGCTTAATTAACTAACCAATTAAAATTCAGCCTTTTCATAAAATAAAATCAAAAAAATATTTTCATATTTAATCAAATTTTAACTTTTCTTTTTTATTAATAAATAATAATTAAATTAATTTAGGTTCTTAATTAGAATAACTTTAACATTTTTGTAAATAATTAAAATTAAATTTGACTTAATTAGGTTTTTACTAATTCAATTAATTTTTATTTCTTTCTTAAAATACCAAAAATCCAAAAATAATTTATTTTTATTAATTAATTTAATTTAGTAATTAATTTAGGTTAATTTCTTTCTTAAAATAAAAATAACAAAAAAAAATCTTTTCTTTAACAAAAAAGGGTCAAAACCCTAGAACTTTGCGCTCGATTTAATTTCCCGCATGCGATTTATTTTCTTTTATCCATTTATGTATTTGCCTCCGGTTTGTAATAGTAAATAGGACCTTTTATTCTTTTTATCGCTTTATTTATTTTTAAAGGGTTTGTCTTTGGCGATGTAAATACCTGACGCCTTGTAATTTAATTTCCGCACTTTTATTTTCCGCAAAATATAACTGCTAGATGTTTGATAATAGGATGGCATGACAAGACTGAATGTTTTAACCTAAAATCAACATAGATCACCATTAACATGTACAAAGATAAAATTAACTGAAAACGACACACTTGCACATGCGCACTCTTAGGGTACACCCCACTTGGTTGCCTTTGTACACGGTCATTGAGTATAGGTCACTTTAGAGGTCGTCCTCTTGTCTAAAAGATCATAGTCGCCTTGAAACGGTTGCCTCGGATATTGTTGCCTCAAAACAAATTATCTAAGACATTAGGATTACCGCTAAGGCGTCATAACATTGCTTTGGTGACCGTAAGTCCCTAAATTCAAATTGACCCTTAAACTCCAACGACGGTGCTACCTACTCATTCATAGTGGGATAGCATTGTCTAAAGGAAGATAGCATAGAACGATTCCTTTTTCGAGTAGGTAGATGGTTCTTAGATACTTGCTCTTTCAAAAACAAAAAAACTTTTCACACTTACACTTTTCGAACAAAGTTTTCAAAAACACTTCATACACTCTTGAGGACAGAAGCAAGAGTTAAATTAAAGTTTTCAAACAAAAACTTTTTTAAACCCACAAGCACAAAGAAAACAATTTTGAAAACAATATGAGCAAGTACCTAAAAGCCCGTGGATAACCACGGATAGAAAGGGTGTTAACACCTTCCCTTTCTATAATCTACCCCCCGAACCCAAGAAATATCTCGAAAAAGGAATTTTTCTGTGCTTTTTTCCTTTCCTTGTTGGATAAAATAAAAGTCGGTGGCGACTCTCGCTTACCGCGACATTTTGCGAAAACAAACGCAAAATGCAAACCAGCATTCCAAAAAACAGTCAGTTCTTCCCACCGTATCACAGAACTGGCGACTCTGCTGGGGATATTATAAGTGGGGTGTACCTTAGGAATAGTTCATAATGTTTTCAATTGTTTGACTTGTATGCTTTATCTTTGTGGGCTTGTATCGGAGTTACTATAGATCCTAACCCGGATCTGGGGATACCCTTTAGGTAAGTAGCAATAAAATGCATGGGAACTGTACGGCGTAGACCGATACGGTTGAAGCAGTAGCTACGTTGGTGTGGCACTTTAGTATGTACCGATATCCCTTGTGGCGCAACGAGGAGAATATGGGTCTGCTAAGGGGTCATTAAGCACCAACTGACCTTAGAACCTTTAAATTGACCAACTTGGCCATAGAACAGTAGCAGTATGCTACACTCATTGAGACTAAACTCTCGCGATGATTTCGGTCGTAAGAAAAGGTTGCTAAACTGGAATTATGATTGATCGAGGGTAGTCAGTGATATTGAGATCCTCTAGAACCTGGTTACTATTTCTAGGACAGGTTTAAACCAACTAAACCGAAAGAGGGTAGTACCTAAGCTCCTTTCCAGCCTGAAATCTAAGGGCTCTCTGTGTGACTTGTGTGCCTTTACCATGTTTGCTCTTTGTGAATACTTGTGGTGTGTTTTCTATCATAACATCATAACATCATGACATTGCGTGCATTTTGCATTGGACTAACCTATTTCAAAGACAGGAGGGATTCATCTTTGTTCGGTTTTGTAGGTCATGGCACCAATGCGTAGAAACACCATCCGGATCAACTTTGTCCAAGTTCCTACTATGCTTAAAGAATTGGTTGCAAAGATTCCAGACACTACCTCCTTCATCAGAAGACATGGGCACCTTCTTGGTTTGCTCACCTCTAAGATGGATGAACAAATGATGAGAGTCTTAGTCCAGTTCTTTGATCCACTATACCATTGCTTTACTTTTCCGGACTACCAGTTGGTCTCTACCTTGGAAGAGTTCTCTGATCTACTGGGTATCCCCATTCAGGAGCAAACCCCATTTACAGGTTGGGAGAAGATCCTTAAGCCGGAAGAGATTGCTTCAGCCCTTCATCTGACAAAGGCTGAGGTAATGTCAAACTGGGAAACTCGTAGTGGAACAAAGGGCTTTTTGACTAAATTCTTGGTTGGTAAGACTAATCAGTTCTGGGACAGTCTAGACTTCCAGGCATTTGAAGACATTCTGGATCTTCTGATATATGGTTTGGTATTGTTTCCTAACTCGGACTCCTTCGTCGACGTGAATGCGGTGAAGATCTTCATATCCGGTAATCTTGTACCCACTCTCTTGGGTGACATTCTTCATTCTCTTTATGCCTGTACTGCTCAGAGGCGGGGAACCCTTATGTGATGTACTCCGTTGTTGGTGAGGTGGTTTATTTCTCACCTCCCCAAATCAGTTTTGAAGAACAAAGAAGTCATGGGCTGGGCCTACAGGATTATGTCTCTCTCTTATAATGACATCATTTGGACTATTAAGGGCATGGACGAGGTGGCTATTATTGATCGCTGTGGGGAATACCCCAATGTCCCACTTATAGGAACCAATGGAGGAATCACTTATAATCCGTGTTTGGTCTTACGTCAGTTTGGGCGTGCTAGGAGAGAAGGACCTCATGCAGGGGCGGATCCAGACTTTATATATTGGTGTGGCTAAACATAAAAGAAATTATCGACTAAAATATATTGAAAATAAAAAATAATATTGTTTGATGAAGTATATTTACAAAGTGAGAGCGTAACTCATATGCACACAATCAATATGACTATTGGAAGAAGTTCCATGATTAGCCAATCTGTGAGAATTCTTCCAATCACCAAACCCCTCTGTCACAAAGTAATCTCCCCCGTATTTAGAGACATTCTTAAACAAAAAACATGGCAAGCAAAATGCCAGGTCCTTAGATTCACTATAATCAATCCAATCATACAAATCAAACCAATTTTTGCAAAATCTACGTCTTTGATTACCTTGAACAGACCAAGGGTAAACAAAATTGTAAGGAGGTTTATGACGACCTATTTTTAAATAAGCTTTCCTTACCTCATTTTGGATGTCAGGATGATAGCTTGAAATTGGAGGCCTAATTCCTGGATCAGTTTCCAACAATTCATAATCAACAACTTTAATACTCTCACTTGGATGTTGAGTTTCCGATGCTTCTAGATTTACCGAAGAAGTAGCTTTGTCTCTAGAAAGCACAGGAAAAAATTTCTTCATCCTATAAAGAGAACAATGAAACCATTAAAATTAGCTATTCACTCTATAAAGAAAATAATAAGAACAATTTATTGTAAAGAAAATATTTATGAGAAATTGAAAATTTACTTTTTTAAAACAAATTGGGGTTTTAGGGTTCAACTCAAATAGAACAAAAGAATAAGAAAATTTTGAAGTAGTTAGTTTACCTTTGATTTTAAATCACCCATAAACAATGCAAAATGGTGGGGTTATTGGATTAATGAGAGAAAGAGACAAATATGGAAGTTGGTGGGGTTTGAGAAGAAGAGAAAGGGTTTACTGTGTGAGAGAGAAAGAAATAAAAGAGAGAGAAAATTAAGAGATAAAAGTGAGTTGAAGAGTTATATAATATTAAATATTAAAATTAATTAATTAATTAAATATATATTAATATTAGAAGAAAAAAAATCTGGTGTGGCTATAGCCACACCTAGCCTAAACATGGATCCGCCCATGACCTCATGAGTTGTTGATGCCCAGTATTGTCTTTGATTTCCAAGGGGATAGTGACGAGCAACGCCGCAAATTCATAAGAGCCTGGAATAGGGTACACATGTCTGATCCACACGAGCTGGGTGCGAAGACTTCTCTACCAATGGAACCATATCTCCGATGGGTCCGCATATGTGCCCAAAAGCTGGGAATGCCTTATGAAGTCGTCTTGCCTATAATTGTCGAAGTTGCTGATGAGGAAGGGGTTCCTCCTACCATTCTCCACCCTTACATGCCTACTAACATTGGGGCATTGAAGAGGTCCTGGATGCAGCTGAGAGAAGAACGGGATACTTACCGGGAAAAATATCACGAGCAAGAGCAGAAGATTCAAAAGTTGACAAGGCAGCTGGAGAACGAGCGGATCTTCAATGACTATGTCCGTACCGACAAGAAGCGACCATGGGAGCACTGATTATTTTTTTACTATTTCTAGTTTTGATTTACTTTGCAGTTTTCCTTTATTGTAACGCCTTAAAGGAATCTGTTGAACAATTGAATTTCAATTTTTATCTAATAAAAGTGTGTTTCATTTTTTGTTTACGAATTTGAATCTCTCGACGTCTTTGAAATCATATCATGTGCATATCATTCCCATGCACCTCATAACAGGTACCCATTACAGGTTTTCTCATCTTCTTCGTTGTTTATTTCAGCACCATGTCTTCTGAACCATCAACTGAACAAGCAATCAAGGCTCTACAGGCTCAAAACGCCCAATTCCAAGAGTTGTTCATGAGTTTGGCTAAGGGTCAGCAAGATCTGAAGACCCTTATCTTGAAAGAGAAGAAGAAGAAGAAGAAGAAGAAGAAGAAGAAGACGGTCATATTCAATATGGGTCGCAGATTCGGAAACGATTTGCGAGAAGAGGTTGATTTGACCCCCTCGTCTGGAGGGAAAGATAATTAGGAAGAAAGGAGGGCTCCTAGCTCTGTGGTTTCAGACAACGAGACCGACTTTGACGAAGACCAGTATCCTCCGACTGAGGATAGATACAAACAGCTGGAAGACCAGTTGAGCGCGATGGAAGTTCAGAAAGTGCCTGGTCTGGACTTTGGTGATCTGGGTCTGTCATCTGGGGTGGTGATTCCCCACAAGTTCAAAGCACCAGCCTTTGCTAAATACGACGGAGTTTCCTGTCCAAAGCTGCACCTCCGTTCGTATGTTAGGAAAATTTAGCCGTACACCACTGACAAGAACCTCTGGATCCACTTCTTTCAAGACAGTCTCTCATGGACTCAGCTTGAATGGTTTTACAGTTAGAAGGAGCTAGTATCCGTAATTGGCAGGACTCGGTTGCTGCTTTCTATAAGCAGTATCAATACAATGCCGACCTCGCTCCCACGCGTACCCAACTTCAGGGTATGTCCATGGGTACGGGCGAAGGTTTCAAAGACTACGCTCAGAAGTGGAGGGACCTTGCTGGAAGAGTGCAACCACCCTTGGCTGATAGGGAGCTAGTGAATATGTTTCTGGGGACCTTGTCTGGTCCATATTTCAACCATCTGATTGGAAGTTCATCGTCCGGGTTTACAAAGCTGATCATGACCGGGGAAAGAATTGAGGTTGGTATCAAATCTGGTAAAATACAGAAGGGTGCTTCATCAGGCACCGAGAAGAAGCCTTTTAAGAAGGAGTCCAGTGTTGTTTATAGTTCAAAAAGACATAATGGACCTGAACACCGCCAAGCTGTTAATGCGGTGGTTATTTCAAGACCTATTGTTGCTCCTCAGCACAACAATCAGTCAAGGGCCGAGAGATCTCGAAGACAATTCACTCAGCTCAACATGACTTTATCCCAGATTTTGCCGCAGTTATTAAAGACCAGTCTAGTGATTCCAAGGGAGGCCCCGAAGAATCCAAATACAACATCACTGAAGTACAACCCTAATGCCCGTTGTGCTTTTCACTCTGATAGCCCGGGGCATGATACAGATGATTGTTGGGTCTTGAAGAACAAGGTACAAGACCTGATTGATGCTAAGGAGATCGAGTTCGGAGCACCAGAAAAGCCTAAAATGCTATCGAGGATGACGATGATGAAGAGTTTGATGTTGACAACTGGATATACCCAACTGCCGATGGTGGATTAAGCAACTGGACAACGAAGGATTCTATGCATGTTTCAGTTATCACCCAGTAATGAGACTTTTTGTTTGAATTTGTAACAGACAATGTTTTAAACTTTATGGCCTGGTGCCTTACCCGGGGCACCGTGGCTTCATTTGTGAGGGCTTTATGCGTGTCATCTATATATATCATTAATAAAAGCATTGGACGTTTCTTGCATTTCGAATTTTACGCTCCTTGTTTTTCGTTCATTATATATTGCAAAACTGCTATTTTACACACACTCATGTATCATGATCTACATCCACTCTGGATCCCACTGATAACGACTCTGCTACTGCCGGTTATGACTTCGAAAGTCCGATCAACTTAGCCGAAGACGAAGGTGAGTATGATTGTGAAGTGCCTGGGGAACTTGTTAGACTACTGCTTCAAGAAGAGAGGGGTTTACCACCTCCACGCCACCAATTCTGATGCCTCCAGTTGAAGGAAGACCATTAATCTTATACTTAAAAGTGCTGGATAATACAAAGAGGTGTGTGCTGGGACAGCATGACGAGTCTGGCCAAAAAGAGCATTCTATTTACTACTTTAGCAAAAAGTTTACCGACTATGAGACCCAATACTCACTGCTCGAGAGAACTTGCTATGCTTTGGCATGGGCTGCTCGCCAGCTGAGACAGTACATGTTGGCTCATACTACCCTTTTTGATACCAAAAGAGGTGAACGTCTTGACAGCTCTGTGGCCTTTTGCAATGTGGGGCATTGACATGATCGGCGAGATCAGTCCTACGACATCCAACGGGCATCATTTCATCTTGGTAGCTATTGATTACTTTACGAAGTGGGTTGAAGCAGCTTCCTTTGCTACTGTAACCAAGAACGTCATGGCACGATTCATTCAACATAATCTGATCTGTCGATATGGTGTACCGGAGAGGACCATTACGGATAATGGTATGAATCTCAACAATAAGATGATCACTGAACTCTGCAAGCAGTTCAAGATACAGCATCATAACTCTTCTCCTTACCGGCCTAAGATGAATGGGGTTGTCAGAGCGGCTAATAAAAACATTAAGAAGATTGTGCAGAAGATGATGGTGACGTACAAAGATTGGCACGAGATGCTACCTTTTACTCTTCATGGGTACCGTACCTCAGCACGGACGTCAATAGGGGCAACACCATATTCCTTGGTATATGGCATGAAGGCAGTCTTGCCCATTGAAGTCCAGATACCCTCTCTTCGAATTATGAAGGATGCAGGTTTGAGCAAAGATGACTGGATTCAGACCCGGCTTGATCAGCTGAACTTAATCGACGAGAAAAGACTAACTGCTATTTGTCATGGTCAGACGTATCAAAAACGGATGATCAAGGCATTTAACAAGAAAGTTAGACGACAAGAGTATCAAGTTGGGGACCTGTTTATCAAGCGCATCATACTGCCACAAGGTGATCCCAGGGGAAAATGGACCCCTACTTACGAAGGGCCATTTGTGGTTAAGAACATTTTCTCAGGAGGAGCTATGATTCTAACCACTGTGGATGGTGACGACCTTCCTCACCCCGTCAATGTAGACATAGTAAAAAGATACTACGCATAAAACAAAGACCCGCTAGGTCGACTGACCTAGGCAAAAATAAGGGCTTCCCGGAGAACCAAAAGGGTTCGGGCAAAAATAAGGGATGAAAATGAAAAAAAACTGTACACCCGGCAAGTCGAAAACCTGAAAAGGCGGCTTGGGCAAAAAAGGGTATCCTGGTGGGCTGAAAACCAGAAAGGGCGGTCCAGGCAAAAATTAGGGATTAAAGCGTAACACTATGTCTCATTGGATCACCTTGCAAACAGACTTCGGTATCGACTATCAAGCTCGGACGACACTAAGCAATCTGACCTACCTTCAACCAAGTAGCAAAGTTATGAGATGCTCAAGGACATAAAGGCAATAGCAGAGTTGGAACCCAGTGGGATTATTCACATAACTGTTTTGCTTAGTTTTTCACAAATTGTGTAAATTCTTTTGTTCGGCGGCGTTCTCTTACTAGGATGTCAGCCTCTTGTACAAAAAACGCCTATTTACAGGCCAAACTTCAAAATCAATACAATTCATCTTCAAAGAAATTTCAAGCTGTTTTTCCTTTATCTGTTTTGTTTTGCAAAGAACGTCCAATGTTCATTTTTGATATATGCATTTGACATTAATTGCTGCTCATAAATATTTACATGCGAAACAAAAGACCATTACTTGTAATATCAGAACCAGGGGCAAATAAGAATTGTCCAAACTGTACAGTTGCTCTGTCCACCAGGTACAAGGTAAATTCAGCTGAAGAATATGGTTAAGGTACTTTCACTCCCCACAGAGTAAGACAATAATGACAGCTTTCCCCAGCTGAGACTTGCAACTGT